TGGAGGACTGAATTCTTTAGTAATGTTAACTGGTACTGAGGGCAAGAGGGAGACCTGGTCAAGTCACAATCCTTCCAGTAATTTAATTCCTTTGTTACTCTTAATTCATGAACTCTAAACTCAGGGTTTTGTGTTGCAAAGAATGTCTCCGACCTTCACTGCAATTTCTGATGTGCATGTTGAGAGCTCTGGATCCTTCACAGGTTTGCCAGTGTGATTTCATTCCCTTTTTTCGTCCCACTGAAATTATTAGAATCTTTGTTTTTCTAATACCCTTTTCCAATATCTTTGTGCTTTTGTTACTTATTAAAACATTTTATTGTCATTTTCAATGTGTTTGGGCAACAAAAGAGAAATAAATGTGTGGATTTTGAAGACCTATTGAACTGAAAGTGAAATATAGCTTGTATATTTTAAAATCGAATGGAGTATTTCTTCTCTTCTGTGTGCTTTTTAAAAAAGTAGTTGTTATCTGTTAATTCTTCTAGGTGAACTTTGGAATTATTTTGTCACTAACTTTGAATGTCATGCACTTTGCTTGACAATGTGCTCATTATATGAACTCCTGAGATACTTCATGCTGTTTACTAGTCTATTTTCCTGTATTCCTTAGAACACTGACCATGTCACTATGCACAAGGCGAATTATAAATATCCTGTACTTCTTATTCTCAAAATCCTGAAATGGTTCTTTGTTGTCTTTAAATAAAATCTGGACTCATTAGCATCATCTCTAAATACCTTCCAAGTCATCCCTAGATATTACCCTTTCTACTTGTACTAAATTATTCATAGTTCTTAAATTTGCCATTTCTCCTCCCCTTCCCCCCACTCATACCCATATATAACTTTGTTATGTTGTCTTCCTAGCTAAAGTCAGATGTCACTTAACTTAGCTTTACCATTCTGTATCCTCGTAGTGCCCTATGATGTGTGCTGCTCTTTTTCTCTTAGATCATACTCTTAAGGGCATGGACTGTGTGTTTTATCTCTGAATGCTCAGTACAAGAGAATTAATCATGGTGATGTCCCCTGAATCACGAATGAAGTAAAATTAAATTGCTACTTTTTAGAGAGGAAATAGATAGGAAAGTGTATGTTATTCAACAAAATTTCCACTCAGAAACTGAGTTGATAATTCAGTGTTTATTGGTTTAGTTAAGAGAACTACTTAAAGTAGCCTTTTCATTACAATGAAGTATTTCTGTAAATTAAAGCTATGCTAGTTTTTTAACAGGTGTTTCCAAACATAGGGTTCATTTAGAATGCTTTCATGCTTAAAGTGAGGTTAAAGGACTAGCCACTTTAGAAAACTAAGTAAAATCTATACTTTTTTTCATAACTGGAAAATCAGGTAGTGATAAAAACTAATAGTCTCATGAAAGAGGTTATCTATGTGTCTGATATCTATGTTGAGCTTTTTAAATCCAAATTACTAGGAATTATGGTGCTTTGTCTTTTTTCCTTTGTAGTCCCTGAAATCATAATCTTCACTATTACGTTTGGACAAGAAGTAATTACTGATGCAAATAGCATTATGACATGTAGCAGACAGTAAACAGCCTGAGCAGATGGCTGTTTACAGAACACAGATCTCGATTCTGCATAACCATTCTGGAGATACTTTTTGGCATTGGACACGTTTTGTTCTTTTAAGAAGACTGCCTTTTGTTTTTTGTTTTTTTTAAAGTGTTTCTTATTGTTAAAGCCTTAATAGGTATTTCAGTAAATAATAAGTAGCTATAGTAATTTCACTAGAAATAATTTTATTCAATACCTATTTGAAAACTCAGATATAAGCATAGATATAAAACAATTACAAAACCAAGTGAACATTAATATCCATATGTGTGCCTAAATAACAGGTAGTAACCATCATCTAGGGTTAGAAATAGAACACTTCCCAGTCCTCCCTGTGTCCCCTGCTCTTTCTCAATCAGGTGGGCTCTGTGACCAGTTCTGTTAAGAACATTTTGCATATGTGCCCCAGTATGCATATCTGTAGGGTATATACTTACAAGTAGAAATGCAGTCTTTAGGGTATACATATCTTCAGATTTCCCAGACACTGCCAAGCTATTTTCCAGTTTGCCAGTTTTTAATTACCTTAATTGTATTAAGCTGAAAGTGTGGCCCAACTGGTAGACTGCTAAGGCCCTAAGTTCAAATCCCGGTACGGCCAAAAAAAAAAAAAGTAGAATGAATGTGCTATGTCCTAATATTATGTAACAGCTCTGGATGGTATCTTCTACCCTTCTAAAGTTTTTCAATTGGTTGTGGAAAGTATTACATTGTAATTTCAACTTTTGTTTCTTTGATTGTTAATGAGATTAAGCATCTTTTTCTATGATAATTGGCCATTTGGATTTCCTTTCCTGTGAATGTTTGTTTATATCTTTTGTTAGGTTTCTTTTGAGTTTTGTCTTTTTCTTGTTTATTTATATGTATACTGGATTTGAACTATAGGTTCTATGTAATGCAGTTTTATCCCATTCTTGCTTTTCACTCTTTTCATAATGTCTTTTGATTAACTGAAATTCTCAAATCTTATTTAGCAACATTTTTATTTATGGTTGTCATTATTTATGGATTGAGTAAGAAATATTTACCTAAATATTTTAAAGTTGTTGGGGAGTATATTTTCATGTAAATTCTTTGTAATTGTCCCTTTTGTATTTAGGCTTGTAATTCACTGGGGCATTGATTTTTGTTTATAAGATGATATAGTCATTCAGTTTCCTCTCTCTGTTAGGTGATCCACTTCCCCTGATTCTACTTACTGCAAACACAATTCTTTCCTGTCTACTTGCAGGTTATGTCAAGAATAAATCATCAATATAGGGGGCCAGTATAACCTTGACAGCAAAACCCGGTAGAACAGAAAAATACAGGTCACTCATTCATTAATAGTTTGTACAAGAATCCTAATCACAATTTTAGGAAACTGGGCTGGGGATATAACTCGGTAGTATTACTGGGTGTATGTTCAGCCTGCAGGAGTCCTTGGGGTTTCAGTCCTAGCATCAAAAAATAAAATAAAAAACTATATGGAGCAACATATTGAAAGGTAAAGTTTTCCATACATATATGTAATGTATGTTGATCAGATTTATCCCCTGTACAACTAGCATTGTGGGAAAGCACTGGAAGTATTCTATTTAAGTTCAGGATCAAGTATTGGTTAGTGATAGTCTTCCAACAAGCTTTCTTCAGTACTATATCAGCAGGTATTGATATGGAGGGAAAAAAAATGAAGAAGGAAATGGGGGAATGTGGCAGTAAGTTAGCATGTGCAGTTTGTGGACTGACTGTTTCAAGTGGTAGAGCACCTGCCTAGCAAGTGTGAGGTCCTGAGTTGAAACCCCAGTGCCACCAAAAAAAGTACAGTTTATAATCACAAAGAGATCCTGCTGCACAGTTAAAACCTAAAAAGATCAAGACTACCCAGTATTGACGAGGACATGAGAGAACAGGAATGTGCATACATTGCTGATGGGAATGTAAAATTGTATATGTGCTTTGTAAAACAAAGTGGCAGTTTGTTAAAAAGTTAGATATACACTACCATTTGACAGAGTAAGTCTAATTCCACACAAATGTTTATAGCAGCTTTGTTCATTCTAGCCCAAAGCTAGAAACAATCCACAATTCCATCCATAGGTGAGTGGGTATACAAAATTGTGGTCTATTCACACAGTAGAATACTACTCAGCAATACCAAGGAATATGACTGATGTAACCCAAAACAAGTATAAATCTAAGTAGTATCCTGTCTGTTGAAAGAAACAGGCACAAAAAGGTATGGTCAGTATGAATCTATTAGCATGAAACTCTGAAAATACAAGTCCAATAAGTAATGAAAGATCAGTGGTTGTGGATGGGAGGATTTTTTTGAGAATGGGCACTTGTGAATCTTTTGGGGGAGTTGGAAATGTACTATGTATTAATTACCATCATGATTACCTAAGTATCATTGTTTTTTCAAATTCAACAAAATTAAAATGAATGCATTTAATTCTATCAAAATGACAACCTTTAGGAAGTTGGGGGTAGGAATCTCTTCTCTGCTACAGGGGAAAAAATAAAGAAAAAAATTCCTTTCTCTAGGAAGGCACTCTACCAATTGAGCCACACTCCCAGCCCTAAAAAAAAATTCCTTTCTAAGTAAAGTAATTCAAGTTATATACTTTGAGGATTGAGGATTTAATAATTTAGATACAAATTTAAACTGCAACTTGCTTTCAGCTTGCTGAAATTATCTCTAACTCTGTTAATTGTTTCAAATTGTAGAAGAAGAGGAGGTTTAACAATAGGTGCTAATATTATGATCAAGCATATGCAAATCCTAATGAATGCCTTTGGGCAAGGTTAATAATTTAGGATTGGGGCGGGATTTCAAGGGTTGCACATCATATGATATTTTACTCTTGCGGATAATATCCTTACCATTATGTGGTGCTTGAAAGGTGTACACAGTTTTCACAAATATTTAATCCCCCAATGGCCTGTGAAATAAATAGGGTAGGTGTTACTATTCTCTGTACACATGAGTACACTGGCCTGTTGAGATTACTAACAATTTTGGTGCATATTAGAGAGCTAACATGTGCTACACAATCTGGGGATTAAAGTAGTCTCTGACTTCTAATTCTTATTACCACGCACGCTAATTCCAGTAAATTGTGCTTTCATATTATCCATGTTGCTCTGTCTCCACCCCTCCTTTCATTATTCTTTTAAGCCAGTAACTTTATTATTCATGTGCATTCTCGAAAGAATTCAGATTTCTTTTCAGACTGAATTCTGTGTATTGCCGTATTAACCAGAAACATTTTGGGGCATTCATTATTATAGTTATCATACCCAGGGGATAAATAAACTTTGAACATACTTCTTTGTACCACAAAACAATATGAACATTTGGCATAAAAATTATGTATTTTAACTAGCTTTCAGCATCTGTTTAATATACTAATCTAATTCATTGTGATAATTTCCAGACTAAATAAACTTGAAGATACTGTTGTACTAATTAAAGGAAAGATTGAAGAAGTTCTTCTTCCTGTAGAAAAAGTGGATATTATTGTGTCTGAGTGGATGGTAAGTGTTCACAGAAAACCTTTCATTGGTGAAATAAAAGCAATGAATTTAGTAGCAGTTTTTCTGCATTTAACTGTACTTGATAAATTGCAGAATGGTAGCAGTATTTTAAAAATAGCAACATCTTTCATGATAGTTTATTCTAAAATGGTACTAGTTTATTGGCTAGTCATCTTTTTTTAAAAAAAAGAATAAGCTATATTTTTTACCTTTAAAATCATAAGAAGAAACTATTATTTTTCTACTAAATTTGTAGAGACTTAAATGTTTTCCTGAAAGCCTTTAAGGGCTATTAAGGACATATTGGGACTGTTTCATCAAAATTAACATTATGTTTCCACTATTGCTGTCATGTTGACTGTCTTATATTTGTAGTTCACTAGGCTATGTGATCAGTGTCTTTTTTCACATAAAATAGAAATTATTGGTGTTGATAAAATTAGACTGCGTTACATAGCATATATAGATTACTGTTGAAATCTTTAGTCAAGGTAGAATATTTTATCTTAAAATGTATATAAATTAAAACTAATGGTATTTACCAACTGATTGGACTTAATTAATACGATAATTGAAGGTAAGATAGTATGTTCAGTCAACAGAGATTTCCTAACCATTTGGAAATTAAGTCTTTTTAAAGACTTAATTAATTTGATTAGATATACTTTCATAAATGAATTTTATCAAAAAATTTTTAAAATGATGAGTTTTACTTTATAATTTTCTATAACTTTCAAATGAACAATCCTGGCCGATTAGCAGGGATTTTGAGGAGCTTTTAAAATGTTCAAGTTTAATACAGTAATGTGTTCCAGTTTAGAGCCAAGGATAGTCATAGTTGTTGGCAGTTACTCTTTTGTATGTGAAGCAGTGCATTGATTTATTTTCTTGTTTTTATTTTTTTCTAGTTATACATATTTATGAGATACAGTATGGTAATTTGATACATGTATACAATGTGTAATGGTCTAATTACCATTTCCATATCAAACATACATAATTTCCTTGTGTTGGGAATCTTTGAATGCCTCTGCTAGTTTCTTATAAAATATTACAAATTGTACTTATCTCTCCTATCTAACTGTATTTTGGTGTCCTTTATTCATCTTCTGTCTCTCCTCCTCCCTGCCATTCTTATCCTCTTGTGACTACTAGTCTATGAAATTAGCAATTGTTTTTTTAGCTTCTATATATGAGTTAGAAGATATAATATTTGTCTTTATGGGTCTGACTTATTTCACTTAACATAATGTCCTCCAATTACATTCACATTGCTGCAGATGACAAGATTTTATTCTTTTTTTGTGGCTGAATAATAATTCCATTGTGTATTTATAACACATTTTCTTTATTCTTTCATTTGTTGATGCACACCTTGTTTGATTCATATGTGAAAAGTACTGCAGTAAGCATGAACTGCAGGTATCTCTTTGATGTACTTATTTCAGTTCCTTTGGATAATATTGATGGTTATAGGGTGGCTATGATTTTTTTTTTTTATGCTAGGGTTGGCTTTTAATAATTCTTAGTTACAGTATCATTCTTAAACCATTGAATTTGTATTAACACTCTGATTCTCTTTTGAGTTGAATGAGTAATTATAAATATAGTCATCAATAATTAAAAGTCCAACATTTCTTTAAGGAGGGTGCCAAAAAGATGCTTTAGAGAAAGCATAGTTGAAGCCTTTACTTGGCAATAAATTAAAATTATGCTAAATGCTCCCTCATTTCTGTAAGAACTATTTTATTTTTCTTGGAAAATGCATCTTTTAAGTTTCTCCAAATTAGACTTTATAGGCAAGAAAGCCAGATTCAACCAAACTTCCTGTTACCTCAGTTGAACATTTTTATATAACTTATTATGAACTAGTCAGGTAGTTTATATCTTGCCTAACAGAATTACATATTGATTTTCTAGTTTTTATTTCAAGATCTGAAAGGTGATCTAGAAGTATTAATATGCAGTTGAACTCTCAGATACAATTGGTTTAATAACTGAAATGAGAAATTAGCTGGATTGAGTAAATTAATGAGGTTGTATGTATGGTGTGAACTTTATTCAAAGTCATGCTGATCTTAGGCTTGATTGCCCTTGGATCTGGGGTTTCTTTTTTTTTTTTTCTCTTTTAAATACCCTTCTGCTTTCTTCTGTGCTGAAGGAAGGCTAACTTTGTAGGCTACCTTTCCTGGGTTCCAGTGACAGCTGACTTCCACTGGGTTTGGGACACCAATGTGGAACACTAGTGAGATATAAGGGGAGGAGAGCCAGATCATTCTTCCTCGTCTCACTTTCTATTGGTTGTGCTGGCAAAAGCTGTTTCTTTTGTATCTCCCAGTGCCCCTAACGTGCTTGTCATAATTCTAACATCTGTTCTGTGACCTTGGCCTTGGGCTTCTATAGCAGTGCCTCTTCCATTTGTCCTTCTAGTCTATGGGTGCTAGTTACTTCCCTGTGTTACTAAAATATGATTGCCTTTTCTTTCTTAGTGACTTCTCACATCTTGTATTCATCTGTATAATCAACTTCCAACATTAATTTTCCTCTGTTTAAAGTTACCTGTATTTTCTGTTCTGCTAGTAGGACTCTAACTGATGATAAAGGCCACCTTTCACTTTGGAGGGCCAGTCAGGTATGGTCTCTGCCCTTATTAGAAAGGCCTTTTAACATGAAAAGTACAGAGACTCTGAAGGCTGAGATGAAAGGATCCAGTTGTTTGGTAGGGCTAGCTAGGGACTTCCTTCTTCCCTGCCTCAACTTAAGCATTTGCATTGCCATACCCACTGTCTTTCCTTGTAAGCATAACTAGAGTAGAATTGTAGTCTTTGTATAAAGATTCTTGGTGAAGCATAAAACACTGTAAGTTACAGCAGTTAGTTGTTTAATCACAGTCAACTTTGAATGACCTTATGAAGTTTGCTTTAAGAAGGCTTGTGCTAAAATACTGTGTTATCTTAGTGGATTAGAAATATCATTTAAATATCATCTAAACTCTGTAAGTCCCATGGTAACCTTGGTACTCCATTAGCATTTCTGAGCTGAAAAGCTGAAAAATGCTAATTACATAATTAAACAACATTTAAATTTAATCAACATTTTTTCAAATCTCCTACTTGAGCAGAAATAGTGGACATTTAATAAGTAATAACTGACTTTTAAATCTCTACCCACATTTTCATGAACCAAGGATTCTTAATTAAAATATATTATATAGAATACTATGTCTTTGGAAGGATTTGCATGCTTGTTTGTTTTTACATACAGTATTGTAAGAATAAAAAAATCTAAAATGAACCTTCTTTAAGCTGTAGGATACATTTTTTTTGCTTTTAAAAAATATTTTGAACAAGAAGGAACAAAACAGGAATGTACTTTCAAAATTGGACACAGATGTTTAATGGACTTGTAAACCAGTATAGCAATGTAGACATCACATACTGCAGAGATACACATCTGTTTCCCTCTACTATGGTCCACTAACTATTCCAAGGTTTAATCTAGATATGTATTTTGCCTGCAGCTGTTCATGAATTTTGTTTTTCTTTTGGAAGATTTTTCTAGATGAGAATGTAATTTAAAAAAGCTAGATCATTGCTGTTGGTAAATTATCTCTTACCTTTTAGATCAATGAATTTTCAGATTTAGGCTTGCTTTAATTTTGCATTTTCATTTTTATTGTTTTGAAATATTTAAAAATATTTTGTTTGAGAGTATTTCTTTTCTATATTAGGTATTCTGTATTTTGGTATTCATAGTGAAATGTCTACTATAGTCAAACAAGTTAACATGTCTCTCATCTTACATAGTTCCTTATTTTGTGTGATGTTAAGACCACCTAAAATCTACTTTTTTTTTATTCATACATGCATATAATGTTTGGGTCATTTCTGCCCTTCCCCCCCGCCCCCTCTCTTATCCTCCACCCCTTTGCTCTTCCCCCCTACCCCCTCGCTACCAGGCAGAAACTATTTTGCCCTTATCTCTAATTTTGTTGAAGAGAGAATATAAACAATAATAGGAAGGACCAAGGGTTTTTGCTAGTTGAGATAAGGATAGCTATACAGGGAGTTTACTCGCATTGCTTTCCTGTACATGTGTTACATCCTAAGTTAATGCTTCTCGAACTAACCTTTTCTCTAGTTCCTGTTCCCCTTCTCCTATTGGCCTCTGTCGTTTTAAAGTATCTGCATTAGTTTCTCTGCATTGAGGGCAACAAATGCTATTTAGTTTTTTGGGTGTCTTACCTATCCTTATACCTCCCTTGTGTGCTCTCACTTTATCATGCGATCAAAGTCCAATCCCCTTGTTGTGTTTACCCTTGATCTAATGTCTGCATATGAGGGAGAACATAAGATAAAATCTACTTTCTTAACCAATTTTCAGTATGTGGTACAATATTACTAGCTGTAGTCCTTGTGCTGTACATGTTCATTTTTGTTGAAGAGAATTTCTGTTTGACAGAATAGCTAAATATAAACAGTTTAATACCTAGAAGATAATTATCCTGAGTATGTTTTCTCACTTCTCACATTTTATTCTGCCAGTAGAAGTTTCTGTTAAAAGCCATTCTTGACACTTATTTCTGATTGCTTAATTAAACTATTGAAAATAACCATCCATAATTTTGGTCCACCAAGCCAAACTAATGCATTTGGTATTGATGTGGTTCCATCTGTTTGCAGCAGTACCTTACAAGTACATAGATCTGGGCGATGTATGATACAATGATGGTTCTTAATATGTCAGTGTTATTTTCTGTCATAAGGACTGCCGGCCAGATTTCACATTGGATGAACTTTGTTTCATTGCCATGATCACTCATGATATCCCTTCAAATTGTTTTAATTCTTCCACTAACATTTTTTTGTATAGCCTTGGATTTTACAAAAGTGGCCTCAATTTTTTTCTTTTCTCAGATATTCATGGATTGTCCTTGAAATCTAAAGGTTAAATTTTACCTTCCCCAGAGCCAGGTGTATCTATAATGTGCAAGTACATGC